GGCAGGAGGATCGCTTGAGCCCAGGAGTTTGAGGTTGCTGTGAGCTAGGCTGACACCATGGCACTCTAGCCAGGGCAACAGAGTGAGACTCTGCCTCAATCAATCAATCAATCAATAAATAAATAAATAAGGTCATTATACATTTGTCCAAATCCATAGAAGGTACAACACCAAGAATGAACCCTAAGGCAATCTATGGCCTTCAGGTGACAAAGATGTGTTGATGCAGGTGCACTGATTGTAACAAATGTACCACTCTCGTGCAGGGTGTTGACAGTGGGGGAGGCTGTGGGTAGGGGAAAGGGGACATTTGGGAACTCTGTGTACTTTCTGCTCAATTTTCCTGGGAACCTAAAACTGTCGTAAAAAATAATGTCGATTTAAATAAAGAAATAATAAATTAACGGGAGCACTTTATATTAGTTGAAAAATGTTTCAGCTAATAAATGTAGAAGAAATCTTACAATAATTATAAAACCATTACTTCCAACCACCAGTGTAGCAACTGATTCAGACAAGGCTTATCAACGGATGCCAAAACCAGAGCAAAATGGTTTTGGGGGGACAAGACATTCACATGACCTCAAATTATCACCCCACGACTATTAATGGGGGGGGGGGGCGGAGATCCTCCTCAAATGGAAAAACCTGTCAGTCATCACATTAACCAGACAGGTAACTGTCGTTAATAAAGGGACAGGCTTACATTTCATGTCTCCTATTTTGGAATGGATTCTTCAAGTATGTCACAGTCATGAGAGACAGAAAAGGCAGAGGGACTCATGAGACATGACAACTAATGCTACGTGTGATATTTCGATCATGGGACAAACAGCTATGAAAGAAAAGGCAGATGAAGAAATCTGAATATGGTATATATAGACACTGTATCAATGTTAAGTTTCTTAGGAAGGACAATGGAATCACCATTAGCAGAATGCCCCCGTTAGAAGTGTCAACGTGGCCAACATGTATTTTCAAACAGTTCAGCATGAAGGGTAAGTGTGCAGGTGTGTATATATAAGGATTAAGCAAATGTGGCAAAATATTACCTTTTGAATCTACCAATGTCCATTGTTTCATTCTTTCAACCTTACTGCAGATTTCAACATTTTCTAAAGAACACACTTGGAAAACTAAGGAGGAAAAAAATTAAAAGGGGGTTGTTCTTTTGAAAGGGACATTTAAAACAAATGGGTCCCTTCACTACAGTCATCCTTCTTTTTGCAAGGGAAATATTAATACCAGACTTGGAAAACAACGTGCTTTCTTATCCATATACTGCTAACAATACCATGAAGGAAATTCCACATCTTCCCTGAGATAAATTCCAGATACCTCAAATATCTGAAAAGTATCATTCCTTAAAACATTTTTCTAAAGCAGAAGGCCCAAGCTGTGATGGTTCTTAGATGGCAAAAATTTTAAAGTTAAACAATTCAGAATTCTGCCACTTCCCAACAGGAAGTTCTATATCTAAGAACACCAGAAAAACAGGTTTACAAGTGGACTGCATCCCACTGGTTCCCACTTTCCCCACCCTCCCTAGTTTAGTCAATGTGACTTATTCTGCATTTCAATACCCTCTGACAACACTGCTTTATTATTCCTATCTCTACAACCATAAACCCTAAAATATTTTCAGTAAGACACTCTTTAGGACTGGATAATGAACATGTAAGATACAGTATAAACATTTGGAAAACTGTCAAAATGGAGGATGAATTCTAAACACTTTAAGTTCATTTATTCAACATTTATTAAACATCTGGTGAGAAAATAATCCCTTACACTCAAGTAGCTTACAACTCAGTAGCACATATGAAACATTTATATAGGTATATATGCAGGTTATGTTTGTGCATAGATGTACATATATATAAAGCAAAAAGCTACAACGGTTTTTAAAAATTTAAGTGAGGGTGAGGATGAAGAGAGATGATAAATTCGCAGATGTGTGATAAGGAAAATGAAGGTAGGAAGGCTTTGCACAAAAATTTATGGAAAGTGCTGGATGTAGAACACAGAAAGAGATGTGACCTCAGTGCATACAGGGAGCCCAAGGAATGCTAATAAGATAATAGGGGCACTAATAAAAATGCAGTAGGATAAAAAGATGGCTCTGGCTTTGGGGAATATAGAAAAACCTGGTGTTAGGCAAGTAGTATAGGAAAAGCTAGCTAAATATCAAGTGCAAGAACCTAGCAGCTAACTGGTGAGTTAATTCTGCAGTACAGATAAAGCAAGGCTGTCAACTTGTTCAGGTCACCCTAGCCTCACAAAACTGCCGTGGCTTAATACTCCAGCCCTTTCAATAATTACCAAAGCAGTCCCCTACCTGATGTAGTCAGTTCTAGAGGACATCAGCATTTTTTTTTTTTTTTTGCTTTTCTTCTAGTTCAATGAAGTCACTTACAGGGCAGTGGGGTTGGGCCATCTAAGTAGAATTTATTAACACTAACATTTATGAAGTGTCTACCGTGAAGCGTGAATAAGGCAAACCCCAGAGAGTACACACGCATAAGACGACACAATTCTGTTACCCGTCAATTAATTTAAAAAACCAAATGCGAGATCCCGTGTCTACTAAAAATAGAAAAATGAGCTGGGTCTGGTGGCGCACGCCTGTAGTCCCAGCTATTTGGGAGGCTGAGGCAGGAGGATCGCTTGAGCCCGGGAATTTGAGGTTGCTGTGAGCTAGGCTGACGCCACAGCACTCTAGCCCAGGCAACGGCTCGAGACTCTGTCTTAAAAATAAATACATACATACATACATACGTACATACAAATACTTCAATGCTTAGCCCCCTGCCCACATGATTCCCTGTGTTACCTCAGGACTCTGCAGAGTCCCTATCAGCAAGAAGGTCCTCACTGGATGCAATCTCTTGACTTTGGACTACCCAGCCTCCAAAACTGTAAGAAATAAAGTTCTGTTCTCCAAAAAATTAAATAAATAAAAGATAAAAACACTTCACAAACAATGGCCAGGCAATGGTGGCTCACACTTGTAATCCCAGAACTTTGGGAGGCCAAAATAGGAGGAACAATTGAGGCCAACAGTTCAAGACCAGCCTGGGTAACATAGTGAGACCCCATTTCTACAAAAAAAAAATTTTTTAAAAATTAGCTGGGTGTGGTGATGTGTGCCTGTAATCCAGCTACTTGGGAAGCTGAGGTGGGAGGATTTCTTGAGCCCAGAAGTTGGCGGCTGCAGTGAGCTATGATCAAGCCACTACTCTCCAGCCTGAAAAAACAAGACCCTGTCTCTTAAACAAAAAACTACTTCATAAACACTGAGTGCTACAGACACGTTTAATAACAATTCTCAAGTGTTTATGGGTAGACTGAACAGGCCTGAGGCAACACTGCCAGAGCAGAAGCATGTGGGCTGGCAGCTGTGCATATAAAACAGGAAACAGATGAGCAAAGCAAGGCCAATTTAGAACAGACACCTGAAGTTGGGACTGTGCTGCGATCTCCCAGGCTCTTGTCACCAGTTACTACTGAGCAATGGTTCTCTTTGCTCATTACTGTCTTTCACTCCTATTGGGGACAGTCTATTGATCA